GTGTCCTGCTGGCCCTGTGCCGCCTCGCCGCGCCGCTCGCCAAGAGCCTGGAGCCGGTGTCGTGGAGCTCCGCGAACCCCAAGTACGTGCGGCGAGAGAAGGGGGGGGTCGGGAGGGACGCGCCTCGCACCCCCTGCGGGGAAAAAGGCACCGAAACCGCGTTCTAAATGCGAGTTTAACGGAAACAGCGAGGTTTTTAAGGAAAAATCGCTCCTGAAGGCTGCGGGCGGCGGACGGAGCGACCCCCGGCTGAGGACGGACCCGCGGCGCCGCGCTGCTTTTCGTACCAAAAAAAAAAACCAAACCTCCTTCCCTTTTTCCCCCCCCGTTTTTAACTATGCTTTTTCTTCTCACAGCTTTTCTTCTCTTGAAATCCGTTTTTATTTTTGAAAACCACGTTTTGTTTCTTGATTTTTAATATTTTTTTTAATTTTTCACGTCACGGTGTTGTGGTTTTTTTTTTGTTGTTTTTTTTACCCCGGATCGCCGCTTCCCTCCAGCGTTTGGATTTATAACCTTTTTTTAATTTTTTTTTTTCTGGGTTTTCTCATCGGAAATCAGCCGCGGAGGAAGGCGAGGGGATTCGTTCCGCCCCCACCTCGGGCTGGGTCCGAACAAAGCGGGCGGTGGGGCTGCTCCGCCTATACAGACACCTAAATTCTATAAATTTATATATTTCTATATAAATCTGTGGATGTGGACGCGGCTGGCGTGCAGGAGCAATATGAAGGGCCAGGAGGAGGAGGAGTGGGGGGTGTTTGGTCGCCCCTATGCCGGGGCTGGTGGTCTGGATGGGTCGGTGGCCCTTCCTCAGCTTTATCTTGTAGATCATGGAATGTTTATTTATCTTACCCCTTTCTCCCTTCAAAAAATTCCTGCTTATAGCCTGCTTTTATTGGTTTTTTTTTTTTCCCCCACCACACTTCCCGAGGCAAAAAATAACCCAAAAATAATCCAAAGAGTTTTTGAGGGTTGGAAAGAACCGAAACAATTTGGACAACCTTCCTGCCTGGACACGTATTCCAACTAAATGTTTATTTCCTTGGTTTCTTGGTGGGGAAAAAGGAACTTTGCAGGCACACTTTGTGTGTCCCCAGCTCTGGAAGCGCCGGGACGGCGGCTCTGTCACTTCGTTCTCCTCGGTGTGTTTTTCCTTTTCGTTTCTTTGGGAGTTATGTCAGTTGGCTGGGAGCAGAGAGAGACTTTTCCCTCGGGAATTGCCCGCTGGATTAGTGAGCTTGGTGAGGGACAGGCAAATTGGTTCCAGAAAACAGAGATTTTATTTGGGAAAAGGCAGCTGGAGGTGGAGGTGGCTCTGGCTTGGTGGTGGAGGATGCCATGTCACCCCTCTTCCCTTCCTTATCCTGGCTTTTCCTTAAGCTGCTGAGGATTGGGAAGTTGGGAGGAGGCCGTGGCCGTTGGCTGGCACAGGGATGATACTCCAGGACTTCCCACTGAGTCCTGGAGTGGTGGCCTTGGAGATGTTCCTCCCTGGTGAGGTGTCCAGGGAGAGCTTGAGGGGTTCCTTGGTTTTCCCAAACTGGAAGCTTGGTGGCTTTCTGCTCCCAGTTTTTGGTGCTCAGCGGTTTCTGCCTTTGGTTCACGTGTAATTCAGGTCTCAGAGCTTGTCTGGATTCAGTTTAGCCCTAGTTCGGATCTTGGTGGTTGCCCGCTCTCAGTTCCCCCTGAATTCAGGGATTGGGGTTGTCCACCCTTGGTTTTCTGCAGTTCAGAGCTCGGAGTTTGTCTGCTTCCAGTTTTCTCCCAGTTTGGAGCTTGTTGGTTGCCCACTCTCTCTTCTCCCCACATTCTGATCTTAGTGTTTGTCTGCCCGCAGTTCTCCCCCAGTTTGGAGCTTGGTGCTTTTCCACCCTCAGTTTTCTCCCAGTTTGGAGCTTGGTGCTTTTCCACCCCCAGTTCTCCCCCAGTTTGGAGCTCTGTGATTGCCCACTCTCCATTCTCCGGGAATTTCGAGTTTGGGGGTTGTCTGCTCTCGGTTCTCTGCGGATTTGGAGCTCGGAGGTTGTCCGCCCTGGATACAGCTTTCTGGGAATGTGCCATCCCATGTGCGGCTGCTCCTGTGGGTGCTTCCCCATCCCTGTATCCCCACAGGGACCAGAGAGAGTGGGAAGCGCCCAAAATGTCGGCGTTTCCACCCAGGAATGGCTCTTCCAGGACATGCACGGGCAAAACCATTGCAAGTATTTTACCTCAGTGGGGACTTTCGGGGCTCGGCCGTGATCCCACTCGGATCCCTCCAGTCTGTGCCCCTGTGGAGTGAGCCCGGATCCTCGTGTCTGGGATCCGTCTTTGGGATCCGTTTCTTTCTTTCCCAGCTCCAAGCTTTGCCGGCTGCGTGGCATCGGGCTGAGCCTCCTCACAGCCGCTCCTGGCAAGCCCAGTTGAGGAAACCAGTCTGGGGATTGGTGTGCTGGGCAAAGTCCGGCTCCAGCTGGGGGAAAACTCATGCTCTTGGTTGGATGGGTTATCTTCCAGCAAGATCCATCAAAACCTTCACCACTGTACTCGGGCTTCCAAGCCCCTTCCTGGGGCAATGCCAGGGCTGTGCCAGCCCCCATCCCACTCTGCCGAGCTTTAACTCTTGTTTTTAGAGTAAAGAGAGCTAAAGCCTTTAAAAATAACACAGCTAAGTGGAATTTTCCAACGGATCCGAGGAGCAAGCGTGGCGCTCCGGGCCCGGCTGGCCTCAGCACGATTGCTGTAAATAAGGAAAATATTTTCCTGCCCTTTCTGGGCAGCTGGGAGCTGTGGGCTCCAGCTCTACCATCAGGTCTGGGGCTCCTGGTGTTATCAGAGGGATGCTGATAACACATCCGAGAGATGGAATCATTTCCTAATCGAGTTAAGTCAGGCTTAAGGTGTGTGCTGGGTTGAGAAGCCCAGGTTGGCTCCTGGGTGTGTGTCCCAAAGCCAGCAGTGAAATCATCACCCACTTCCCGCTGTAAGGATGCTGGGTCTTGAAAGGGAAAAAAAAAATAGGTGTAGGAATGGTTTTGCTGGAAAAAGTGATAATTGTCTCAAACCTGTGCTTGGGATGAGCTCACTTTCTGAGTGAGCTTTCCCTGAGATGTCTGCAGAGCCCTTTGGAAGGGGCTTGGAGTGGCAATATGGCTTTAATTTATTCCATCGTGTCCAAGGGGGGCTTTAGGGAAAGTGCTTCTGGGATTTACTCGTCCCCTTTGCTGCGCAGCCGGGGGTCGGTGGGAGCGTGCTCTCCTTGGACAGCCGGGAATTGCCGGAGGAATTCTGGCTAAATCCTTTCTCAACTCCCTTGGCTGTAATTTGGGAGAAATATTGACCCTGGTGGGCTCCTGTACCGACCGTTAAAGGGAAGCATTCCTAATAAAATATGGTTTGGAAAATTCATTTCAGGCTGGAATTTGCCTCCCCAGAAAGTATTTTAATAAGGAGGTGGGGGAAATGGGACACATCATCCACGCAGCTCCGGAGAACGGCTCCTTTCGCCTCTGCTTTTCCCTCTTCCCCTTCCAGAAAGTTTTGCTCAGCTCCGAACTTGTTAAAAACCAAATAAATGCATTTATTTAAGAAAAAAAGAGGTGAGGGGAAGAAAAAAAAAAAAACCCCAGACAAAAGTCTAATCCTTCGTGGTATTTTTATTCTGCCTTTAATGACATGATGGTGTCCCATGGAATTCCATCAGCACTGGGGTTGATGCCTGGCAGATCTTTGCCTCTTTTAATGCCGTTTTACGAGGGACAAAGTGCTTGCGGGAAGGCTGTTTCCGAGGGGAAGGGCTGGCCTGGAGCGGGGGGCTCGCACTTGTCGGAGCAGATGGAATGGAATTACAGGAGCTGTGGGTGCAGGAGGCGCTTCGCGGTGTCAGGATTTGGGAAATAGGGAAAACTCGCTGCTTATTTTTTATTGAAAGTAATTTCTGGCTTGTAGAGACTCCCCTTTCCTGAGACTGAGAGGTGGGACATGGCTTTAAACTAAAAAGATGGGAAGTTTAAGTTGGATATTGGGAAGAAATTCTTGGCTGTGAGGGTGGGGAGGCCTTGGCACAAGTTGCCCAGAGAAGCTGTGGCTGCCCCATCCCTGAAAGTGTCTGAGGCCAGGCTGGATGGGGCTTGGAGCAACCTGGGATAGGGGAAGGTGTCCCTGCCCATGGCAGGGGTGGGACTGGATGGGCTTTAAGGTCCCCTCCCAACCTAAACCGTTCCAGGATTTATGATTCTGTGTTGCCATCAATAATCCCGTAGCTCCCATGCACACCTTGGCCTTTCCAGGGCTTTGCTTCACCTGTGGAGGCTGGCTTGGGCAAAGCGAGCCTGGACAGCCTGCTTTCCAGTTGGAGTTTCCCATTGGAATGGGGGGGAGCCTTTGCTGGGTGCCCTCCCAGCTCCTGCTCCCCACAAGGCGGACCCCTTGTGCCCAGCCCACTTTCACCAGAGGCATTCTCCCTCTCCCTGTGCTGGGAGGGGGGAAGGAGCACCCAGGGCTCCTTGCAGGTCGTTTGGGAATGACTTCATTAACTTAAATTAAAAAAAAAAGGGAAGGCAGGGCTGCGGCTCTTGCAGTAGCCGGGTAAATACCGCTGGATTCCATAAAATGGATTTAACTGCTTCCTTTAAAAGAAAAAAAGAGCTGTGATGGGGTGGCTGATTGATTGTAAAAGGAGCCTGAGCTTTCTCCGGAGCAAAACAGCTGCTGCAGCTCCTTGGATCTGCCTGGCAGTGGGGCTGGACGGGGTGCTATTCTGTGCTATTTCTGACTGGGATGGGCTGGCAGGGGGCTGGTGGGGGCTGCCACCTTCCACTGCACCTGAGCTCCTGTGTCGCTTTGGGATCAAGCTGTTCCCTTGAATCCTTATCACAGAAGGGCTGGATGTGGCTGGGTGGGATGTGCCTGTGCCCTTGGTGGTGCAGCCAGGTAGGCTGGGGGTTCCCCTGAGCAGCCTCATAAAGTGTTTAGGGGTGCTCCCAAACAGCTTCACTGGGGGCTCATGGGTCCCCCCTGAGCCCTGTCCCTAGTTTTAGGAATCATGGGGGTCGCAAAGAGTCGGAATGCACGAGTAGTTCCTTGCATGACGTCCGTCAAGAG